ATTAGTATCAAATTAATTTTGTTCCATAATTTTGTTATAGTGTTTCTGTATTTGGAATTATTGTAACGGAAAAATGAACCATTGTTTCTGAACGTTGTTATGTTTTGAATTATAAGAGTAATTTTGATTTGTTCCATAAGTTGTTGTTATTGTTTCAAAATTAAAAAAACAATTCTGTTTCATTTTATAATATATAAATTAATTCAGTTTTCCATTTTCCGAAATAATAACAATTCTGTTTCATTTTATACTAATTATGTTCCATAAAATACATGTATTGTTTCATATACTAATTACATTGTTTCATGCATTAAATCTATTTTGTTTCATATTTTATATTAGGATCGCTGATAAGGAAAAAGTGGTACCCGTGCCAAAAAAAAGGAAGGAAACTCCAGCAAATGTACAGTTTGCGAAGGGGAAAAAAATCAGACATGTGCAAGAAGACAGTGATGAGGAGGAACAAGTGGCATTTAGACAACGTATTCCACCAGCCAAATTCATGAAACATGTTATTATAGGACTTCCGGAAGCTCACAAGCAAGTTGTAAGGGATGTAGGCTTTGGGTCCTTCCTACTATTGAACCTGGATTCTAACAAAAACAGTTTTTGTCACGAGCTTGTGGCAAGGTTCAACCCCGACAGAGCCTCCCTTCAATTGCCAAATAGAGAGGAGATAGAAGTCCTCCCGAAAGACGTCCATGCTGTATTTGGTCTTCCAATTGGAGGGAGAGAAATTAAAGACAATAAGTGGATTGAAGAGGATGAAGAATCGCAGGTTTTCTTGCAAAAATGGAGAGATCAATTTGATGATGGAAGTCCAACCAATACCTCATTAATACAGCTGATTGAGACCCAAAAAGATGAAGATGTAACCAATGAATTCATCTAGAATTTCATTGTGGCTGCCATAAATTGTTGTGTACGATCTACATCTCGTTCAACATCAAATTTTAAATTTTTGTATTGCTGTGAGAATGTCTCACAAATTAAGACTTACGACTAGTATACATACACATTTGAGAATCTGATAAACTCCGTAGCAGAATGGAAGGAAGGAGCTGCATACTTCACAGGCCTCTGCCATTCTTGATGGTAAATATATTGTTTCAGTCTTAATAAACTGTTTCACTGAATAATTACAATGTTACGAAAATAATCCTTACTGTTACACTGTTAATTTGAGTACTTGCTTTAGTATTAGCTGTTTCATATTTTATGTAAGTTGTTTCATGTTAAATACATAATGTTTCAGTATTAGCAACACAATGTAAGTTGCTTATGTAACTTGTTCAGATACTGGAATTCAGATATTGTTTCAGAATCCTAATAAACTGTTTCACTGAATAACTACAATGTTACTAAAATAATCCTTACTGTTACACTGTTAATTTGAGTACTTGCTTTACTATTAGCTATTTCATATTTTATGTAAGTTGTTTCATGTTAAATATATAATGTTTCAGTATTAGCAACACAATGTAAGTTGCTGATGTAAGTTGTGCAGATGCTGGAATTCAGATCTGGAATTCAGATATTGTTTCAGAATCTAAATAAACTGTTTCACTGAAGAATTACAATGTTACTAAAGTAATCCTTACTGTTACACTGTTAATTTGAGTACTTGCTTTACTATTAGCTGTTTCATATTTTATGTAAGTTGTTTCATGTTGAATATATTATGTTTCTTATAATAAATATGCAGTTTCATAATAAACGTCTGTTGTTACATATTCATATTTAAAATCAACTGTTTCATGTTGTTTATTTGTTGTTACATATGATAAACGAACTGGTAGTATTTGTACTTTGATATCTTCTGTCAAAGTACATAACCTGTTTAAAATATGGAAAAATGTTGGTTTAAAATATGAAACAGTTGGCATATAAAATGGAACAACATATATATACCTGATGTTTCATTGTTACTTATGCTGTTTCACATTATATGACATTTGTTTCATTACATATTACTGTTGTTTCATATACCTGATGTTTCATTGTTACTTATGCTGTTTCACATTATATGTCATTTGTTTCATTACATATTACTCTTGTTTCATATAACTGTTGTTACATATTTAACAGATGGTGTTTCATTTTATTGGGAAACAAAACATACATTTGAAATCACATTTATTATAAAATGAAACACCATCTGTTAAATATGTAACAACATATATTCAAAATATGTGATATCAAATGTATGTTCTGTTTCACAATATATTTAAGATGTATGCTGTTTCATTTTATATGCCTGTTGTTTCAAAATTTCAACCAACAGTTTTTCATACTTGCTCAAACAGGTTATGTACTTTGATAGACTGAAGCGTGGTACAGCTCAACCACGAAGGACAATACCCCTAATAGCCGTTTGGAACAAGCAGATGATACAAGAACGAATGAAGGTGGAGAAGAAGAGAGGATTTGGACAAGGTAAAGTCCTCGACAGGTTAACTGTTATAAACACAAATTCTGGTGAAGAAAATCAAGGGCCTTCGTCGTCCTCTACTCCTGAAGATGTTAAGGTAAAAAAAAAAAAAAAAAAACAAAAAAACATGACAATTAATATACATGATGTTTCATTGTTTCATATTAAATATAATTTGTTTCATTACATATTATTGTTGGTTCAAAATAATGTATATGATTTAGATGTATGTTGGTTCATTTTATATGCCTATCGTTTCATTTTATATACCTATGCTTCATACATTTCGGGTGTTTAATGTTTTGTCCACGCTGTTTCATATAATAAATCTGATGTTTCATATTGGCCACATGCTATTGTTGGTTTGTTATAGGGATTTATACTTGATGAATTCAACAACATTTCCAAGGAACTTGCTGGCCGTGTCCAGTCAATGTATGCACTGATTGACAAGGCATACAAATTGATTGAGGAGGTGGAGATCCCAGATGAGATGAAGGAGCTCATAAGAAATGTATGGGGCAAGTACACATCAGTACAACCCACTATGAGTTCCCAAGGAATCAAGACCCCGGGTTTTCTATCTCAAGATGAGAACTTATTTCATGAGCCAGCGTTTTTATCTGAGCTCAGTGATGTGATGAACAAAGCATGGGCAAATTTTCAGGCCCCACAAGATGAACAACAAGATGAACCCCCCCCTGAGAATGTTGTACCCCCACAAGCTACACCCCACAATGATTCCGTTCATGACATTGTTCCATTATCTGAATTCCAGCCAAACTATAATCTGTTTGTAGGTTCACAGGCGTTGCCTCCAACACCCCCAGCAAAAGGAAAGTCACCAGAGCAGGAAGAATCTCCAACGGAGCAGCACTTGGAGTCACTCACTGAATCCATCGTTCATAAGATAACAATGGAACATTGTGAGGAGCCAGTGACTGGTATGCAAAGAAAAAAAAGAATCACACAAAATCTTCCTGTGCACCTTCGATCCCCATTAGAAGTGCGTATATTATTGTCAATTGTGAACACATTAGAAGTATTAAATTTATGTATAAATTTAGAAGTATTAAATTTATGTATAAATTGACAATAATATACGCACATCTTTACATACGAAACATAAAAAGACGTTTAGCTAAATTATCCAGGACATGCATAAAAATTATGTATCTTACAACTAATGTGGAAACATTATAAACATTGTTTACTGATTAACATGACGAAGCTGCTCTAATGCCCAGGTCTTTGATTTGGCTATAACTTCATCTTGTAGTACGTTTGCAGGGCTTGTCAATATTTTCCCACAATACTCAATCCTCAGCTTCTTCATTATATCAGGCTGAAATATATTAACAATTCAAAATAAATACCGGAACAATGAACCATAAATTATGTATAAATTAATATAAGAATTACACAAAAACTCACATCTTTTGGGTCGAATCCAATATCCCAACATTCATCTAGCTGCCCCATGTAAGTTTCCATGTGTTTGAGAGCGTATACACCGCAGTCATTATAATTCTCATTATTCTTCCATCTCATTTCCTTCATAGTGGTATTGAATCTAGACACTCCCCGTCCATTCCCAACTTTCTTTTCATTTAGAAATTTAGAAAATGCCTTGATCTGTGTAATATGAAACAATTAGATGTACCAAGGAACAACGGCACAACAAATATATACAATGAAACAATTGATATATAATATGAAACAGGCTAAATGAAAAATGAAATATCAGATGTATGAATATGAAATAACATATTATATATTGTACAATGAAACATATCAAATAACATATCAAACATATCAAATGTACAATGAATACAGTGTACTAACTCTACAATAATCTGTTGTATCATTCACCAGACCTAGAAAATACATGGCTATGGTACAAACTGTGTCGTCATCAGAAGTAATTAAGCAAATAACAGTCAGCTTACAAAGGGAGAAGAGATGACCTATGATTATTGCAGACAACAATAAGGGATAGACCTTGATATGACGAGTCCCATGAGTAACAAGCCAACAACAATCTTTCAAGCCCAGAGCCGAATATATGGCATAACAATCCCTTAACATTGAAAGCTTGGAACTTTCTATGGCATGACAACATAAACACTCCATAAAGCTTACGTCTTTCCTTGAGAGTTTCTTCTAACAAAAAGCTTGTTGATATCTTCTGTGACAACATTGCTCCTGCAAAAATCAATCAAAGATTAAGCAAGGACTTTGTGTAAACTTTCGACGAAAATACTACAGTAAAAGAATTAAGAAAAAGCAATCCACCGAAAGAATCCCAGAGCAAGAAAACATAACAATAATATACACCATAACATAACAATTGCAATAGCATTTGCCATATAGTATAACTAATAGCGCTTAACTACTCCAAAAGACAACTGCCTATAACTAAAGTTGTGTATTTGACCTAAAGTCTCACAGTCCAAATGCTTTCCAAACATCATTTCATGTATAATAAAAAAACGTCCATCCCTATCTCTTCAACTTTCTCCTCTACACATCATCTTGTCCATCCATCCTGATCTAAGATAAGATAGAATTCTCTTGAAACCCATGATCAATAAATGTTACTCATTCTCCTACAATAAAATGAAACAGGGAGCAGGAAGCCTATTTGCTAATTTCAAATCAATACTATTGGTTAGATAACTATAATATTGTTTTTTGACAGATGAACATAATAACTATAACAAGCAGAAATTACAAGCAGTTTCTACAATCTAAGAACTAGTTCATCTTGTATTCTTGTTCATCCTATGATCAACCTATTAGAGGATCATCCCAAGGGAAACTGTTTGCTCATGTAGTCATGTGTAGACCACATTCGAAGCTCACCCATAAACAGCCTAAATAACTGGAAGAAAATTATGTTCACGAGTATAGTTTACAGCTATAACCAGGAATTGGGTAACTATTTCCAGATTCCAGCCTTATCTAAAGCATGGCAAATTTTTTTACCTTTTTTTTTTTTTTTTTTTTTGCCAATATATGCATTAAAATAACACTACAATTCGGTTTTTTATAACTGGAGGATATGAGACAACTTGCCTCGGTCATCTAGCAGCTGCACTATGAGCTATCATTGACACTCTTGCTAATGTAAAAGTGTAAGACACCTAGAGCACCAGTCTTATTCTCTTACAGCTCAAAAGTTCCATTCTAAGAAAAATTACCCTCCATTCTAAAATGATCTATGATTTATTAAGTTGATGACATACTTACAAAGCCAAGCAACTCCACTATCTCCACTATTACCTCTTCGGTAAGGGTGACTTAAGTTGTCCTATAAACCTTGAGTCACCAACAGAGTGTTTGGCAATATGGGAGTTTGAGCACGAAATAGTGGGAATCAGTGATTGGAAACCAAGGCTCAAATTCCATAACTAAGGCTCTTCCCTTCTCTCATGGTTAAGGGTAAAAATGTCATTTTATACAAACTAGTATTTTCAAGTGTAATACATGCCCCCATAGCCCCAGGGGAGAATAAATTGGTAAGAATATGGCACTTCTATTCCAATCCCATCCCCCATATTGTTCCCAAACCCACATTAAACTAGGCAACTTTTGGGAAACCAACTACTATTGTCATGTCCCTAATACCTCATCAAAAAAAACACTCCATGAGTACCTGCAACATCATCCAGTCAACAGAAGTATCTGTCTTGAAAAGATCAATCTCTCTTTCTAAATCTGAACCCATGAACTGAATACAGGAAAATAATACTCCCTCCATTTTTTTTTTTAATGCATCACTTGCATTTACACGGAGTTTTAGGAGCTATAATATTATATTGTGTAAGTAGGTAAGTAGATGATTAATTTATTCTAGTAAAAGTACAATGGGGACCCATGAAAGAGAAAGTATGTAAGAGAGTAGTTTTTTTTTATTACTATTTAAGTGGGAACCATATAAGAGAAAGAAATGATAAAATAATTTGAGTGGGGTTTAAAGGAAGAGAGAGAAGAAATAAAATACGAAGTATAGTTTATAGTTACTAGATATATACTTCCTCTGTTCTTTTTTACTTGACCAGTTTCTTTTATCACGCTTGTCAATGCAAAACTTTAACGATTAATAACTCTAATTCTCCATAAGTAAAAAATATAATAGTTATATATTATGATAGTACTTATTGAGACAAATTCAAAAAGATCCAATATGAATATGTTTTTTCTTACATATTTTTCACAAAACACGGTCAAAGGAGAAGTGGTGAATAGTGTAAAAGTCAAAGCGGGTCAAGTAAAAAAGAACGGAGGAAGTAAGTGATGCATTTAAAAAAAACACACCCATAAAAGGCAAGTGATGCATTTAAAAAAAGCGAAGGGAGCATACCATAATAAGATAGACTCATCAAACCATCCAAGCACTCTTAAAGACAATTGAAATAGGATGGAACATTTTAGCTTACAAATCATGAAAATCGAGCCTAAAATAGAAGAAAAGAACAAGGTATTTTTATTTTATTTATTTATACTAGTTAATTTATTTTGTCATTATTTAATTTACAAGAACTACAAGGGATATCAAAGCTTCCTTAAATTATTACATTTAAAAAAATATATAGAATACAGTATATTCAATTAATGATAGAGCTATCATTCTATTGCAGCAATCAGTACGTTAATGCAGCCATCTATTTAACTTTTTTGTGAAGACTTAAACTAGTTTTCATTTGAGAAAAACTAATATTACTAAGTGATCCTCTATAGACTACATACCCTTTGCTTGTTGCTAAAGTCTAAAGCTACCTCTGACTAAATTCCAACAACTGATTATGCATTGCCTAGACTACCTCTTCTCTTAAGCTAGTTCATTACATGATTATACAAAACGAGGATGTTTGAAGATTAAAATTCCAATATTTCTTATTCATTCCCACTATTTCAATAAGAGGGTTGCTCAACAAAGAATCTGATAACATGCATCATGAGCTCGCAGCTGTTATAATTGCTGTTGGCAGGCTGCTCAAGAATAGGGATATGACTGTCATTCTGAGCCACATCCTCGAGAGATGAGCACTTTGGCTCATTATTTAGGTCAATATGCTATGAATATGGCTTTGGGTCACAAACCAAACTATGTGATTCCCACAAGTGCTGTTGCAACCTATGAGGCGGATCTTAGAGCTCTGCATGCCCCTACTTCTTCCTAGCTTTCTGTTTCAGCTGTTGATTGTCAGCATGCTATATATGTACTATGAACTTTGCTTCTGTTTTTATATTTTGCTACACTGTTCAAAGTTTGCATTTTGGGTTTAAGCAAAACTTTGGACTTTAGGTTGTATTATATTTAGGGCTAAGCCCAAGTAATCCATGCTTCCTTTTGTATTTAAAAAATTCCCAGTATTCAGAACTAAGCCTCTCATATAAATAGAGGAAATACTAAGCGTGCGACTCTGCCCTAAAAAAGTCCTAACTGCTAGATGGAAGAGAAAGGAGAACATCACATGTGATATTTCAGCATACTTAGACCATTCTAATTATGGGTTTTCGCCAACCCTTCTAAGCAAAAATGCTATAAGTTACAGTGATCTTCTAGTTAAGTAGACAATAAGAAATAAAACTGCAAATCTAGTCAAGATGACTGAAGTATCCTAAACAAAGTGTACTCATATTAATTTGGTAACCTTGCCAACAAAGTACAAAAAATAAAAAATAAAAAAAAAATGGTAGAGCCAGAAATTTTCACTACAAAACTCACCTGCCACGAAGCTGGGGAGGCATCAACACTCCACTGCTAGTATCTGGAATGTCCTTCGTGTGTGGAAGATTCCCTCTTGGAATTTTACCACGGATATTTGAAGAACTTGGCCCGTTTGCTTCTCTCTTGCGTGACGCATTCTCAGCCATAGCAGCTGCAACTCGAGAAAAGTGATCACTACCAGTTTGCTGAGATGAGATAGGAGAACTTAAGAGCAATGAAGCATCAGGGAGATTCCCAATAGGTGAAGGTGAGACATCTTTTGATGATTGATTAGACGATGATTTGATTGATCTGCAAAATATAGCTTTGGGATGGTCAAGAAACTCTCATATCACATCAAGTGATGGAGTAATAACACTAATATTTCATAAGCTCACTCAATTGGGGAATACAATTACCAACTAAAAGCTCTTAGAATAGTTAGATACAAAGTATCTACAATCCAACAGAACTCTAAGAATGGTAATAAAAGCTTGCACCAAATGACGAAAGGAAACAAAATAACGATATAACATATCTATTTCAGATACAAATGAAATCCTACTACTTAGAACAACTCTCTTCATCAAGGGAACATGCTTTGACTGCTAAGCCAGGCATTATACCCCAAGCCTTCACGGCTTTATACTTGACATAAAGAAGTGAATTAGTTGCAGAATTTTCCATTATTGTTTCACACTTGCAATACTAGGCCAGGAAAGTTTATGCAACCCAGAAGTTGTGTTTATAGTATCTCAACTATTAAGAAATATGACTTCATTTCAACGAAAGATTCCATAGTGGAATTGCTACAATGATGAATTCAGGTCATTGTGTACTCTAGTAATTCCAGTTTCTAGGATTAAAAAAAAAAAAGGATTATGTGAAACCGAATAATAACTCTTCCCTCAAAGTAATTTAAATTAGTTGCGCAATAAAAAGCTAGAATTTTCACAAGAAGAAATCAAAACCTTGTCTTCCAATCATATTCATTAAGAGTTACTATGGCTTATAAACCGAGAAACTTAAAAGCTAAAATGCTCCCAAAACTCCCAATTTGTTAGTGTATAATTTATAAAGACCCCCATAAATTAAACATTACATTTTCATATTCTTACTCACTTAAGCCTCAACATTGGCAACTCAAATGACACAAATAAATGTCTTTGAAAACTAAATTTTTTTTTGAAAACCGAGAAACTTTAAAGCTAAAACGCTCCCAAAACTCCCAAGTTGTTACTGTATCATTTATAAAGATACCCATAAATTAAACATTACATTTCCATACACCTACTCAGTCAAGCATCAACATTGGCAACTCTAATAACACAAATAACAGTTTTCCAAGCTTAAAAAATAAAAAGAAATCATCAATTACAACAAGACCCAGTACGAATTTCTTCCTTAAAAATAAAAAATTATGCAATAAATTGCAACAAATTGAGTAATTATCCAACAAAAGCATAATCCATACACAATATAGTAGAAAGAAACAATTGAACAACAATACCACACAAAAATCAAACAAAATTGAGCAGAAAAAGGAAACCCTAGTGATAAAAACTTAGAAATTTCTGAAATTAAAAAGGGGAAGGAGGGAAAGAGAGAAGAATTACTGGGATTGAAGGGATTTAGATTGAGAAGGAGCGTCGGAGGAGGTGGTGGTGGAAGGCTGAGGATGAAGTTGGGGTTGTTTGATGGGTGCATCTTCTTGATCTTCTTCGCCGTCGGACGAAGCGTAATCCACTAACGACATCTTTCTTCTTTTTCGTCTTTCAACGTCTCCTCCGCACGACCTCACCCGTGTTAAGCTGTAAATTACAAGCAATGGAAGATACGGAGTACTACCTATTGTTTAACAAACGCACGGGGGCGGTGTGTGCATAAAATTGCACGACATCCTAAGATTTGTAACACGTCCGTGCCACGGTGGCAAATAGAGCTGGGCATCGTGTCGTGTCAAGCCGTCACGGGCCATGCCTTGTGGTGGCTCGTGCCGTGCCGTAAATGCATCCTGGCAAGCCTGACCATATTGGGCTACCAATTGACACACCCCAGTCCACGCCACGTACCTAGCGTGCTGTGCAGGGCCTGACACTGAACAGCCCATATTTTTTAAAAAAATTAAATATATAAATAATAAGTGAATCGAACTTTTAAAAACGGAGGTAGTATAATATATATATATATATATATATATATATATATATAATTTTAAAATCGATATATAATTTAAATAATTTTATTAATTTATGTTTATGTTTTTTTATTATAGTTCTTTTTATTATTCTTATTTTTATTATTATAGTTCTTTATTATTATTTATGTTATTTATATTATTATAATTAATTATATTTTTTTTATTATTATACATCTTTATTACTACCTCCGTTCATATTATTTGCAACGATTAGACACTTTCCACTTACACTTTAGGATTTTTTCCCAAATTAAGCTTTATACGGAAATTATTTACGAAATTGGTGTCGTGGCAAAAGTATTTCCCAAACTAAGCTTCTGAGGTGAAACGCTGTCTCGGACAGCGTTTTACACTCAGTTTTTTAAAAAAAAAAATCAAGACATAAAACGCTGCCTCAGGCAGCGTTTTATGGTAGTTTGACTTTTTTCATAAACTTCGTATTTCATACCTGTTTTATACAAATAAACGCTGCCTGAGGCAGCGTTTATATCTTTAAATGAAACGCTGCCTCAGGCAGCGTTTAATGTACAAGCATAAAACGCAGCCTGAGCCAGCGTTTTTATCTGTACATTAAACGCTGCCTCAGGCAGCGTTTCTTGCGGGAATTATAACGAATTCCAGGCCTTTTTTTCTCAATCTCTTTCCTCTCTTTCACGCAATTTACACTCTCTCTCTCACTAACTCTCATTGTCAGCAACAAAGAACCACAGCCGTTGCCAACGCCTCCCCTGCCGTGCCGCCGCCCCTGCCGCCGCCAAAGTGAACGGAAGTTGTTGCCGGCATTGTCTCACTCACTCTTTAAATCCGGGTAAACCCTAAATTCGTAGTACATTGTTGAATTTTACATTGAATAGTTGGTAGTAGATAGTTGTTGTATGTTGTAGCAAATTGTGATGTAAATTGTATTAATTTGTTGCTAATTAGTAATGAAATGTGATAAATTGTTGATAATTATTGATGATAATGTCATTGATAATGTGGTTTGTTTTTGATGAAATTCTTGATGAAATTGTTGATGGTAATGAGGTCTATTATTGTGAAAAAAATGATAAAATTGTTGATGGTATTGGGTATTAGTATGTTGATAGTTGTATGCGGTACTAAGAGTTTATGAAATTGGTGATGAAAATGTTGATAATGAGAATGGACTTGTTTCATTGTTGTCATATTAGCTACACATGTAGGTTCTCGAAATTTGATATAACTTTCCATTATCGAAGCTATGTATGTTATGTATTGTTAAATTAGGGTTTTTTGACGTTGTTTTAGAATTCGGTTATCCTTAAATGTGTTTTGGTTGGTATGTAGAATATGGCTTCACAAAATGTAGTGTTGTTATGCCGGTGGGGAGGTGAAATATGGAACTTATAACACTTGAACCGAGCATGACTGTGAATGATCTGATGAATGAGGTTCACAGTAGTATCGGCTCAAACCCAATGAATGCTGAACTGAACCTTAAAATGAGGTGTGAGACTGGGCATGGGGTTCAAGTGTTACCTGTCTCCACAAACAAACATTTAAAAGCTTTGAGAAGCATTGTTACAATGAAGGGTGTTCCCAATGAGATATATGTAGAAACAGTGCCTATATGTACCCAACAAAGTACTTGGGCAGAACAACATCCTACATATGTCTCCGATTACAACACTGCGTCCTTCCAAGGCCCTTCAAACCACATTCCATCGAATGAATATGGGATGGGAACTTTCAGTCGCTTGCTGCATGATGATCAATTTCAGATGCCGTTTAGTCCTCATATAGCATCACCTGCACATGCGGGGGGCTATGTGACAATGTTCGGCCAATCCGGTCCTTCAACATCAAACGTCGTGGCTCCGTCACCGATGCGAGATGAGGTTCAAGAATCACCGTCTCAAGAAGACCCAAGTCATTTTGATAATATTGTGAATAACGAATTGTCGGTGTACGATGTGTATGCGGATACAGATGATGAGGATGATAATGGGGAGGAGTATGATATGCTTGATGACATGGATCTTGAAGATGGGCAGATGGAAATTGATGAGCCCTTGGTTAGAACTGTAGTACCCTGGTTTAGTCAGATTAATCAGAATTATGAAGTTGATGAGTATTGGGCCAATTCAGGGAGTCATACATCATTTGTTCCAGGGGGAGAATTCGAGAAGGGGATGTACTTTGACAGTAAGAAAACGCTTCAAGAAATGGTGAAGATGTATTCTATACAGAGAAATCAATTCTACACCACAGTGACCTCAAATGAGAGTGTCCTTCATCTGCGTTGCAAGAAGAAATGTGGATGGTCTCTAAGGGGTACCAGGACAAGTGAGCACTCGCGTGGCTTCACCATAGTCACATACAAAGGCCCGCATCGGGAGAACTGTGTTACCGAATTACTATCTAATGATCACCCACACTTGGATTCGTCCATAATATCTGAGTTTGTGAAGTCCTTTGTGCAGAAAGATCAGACTCTAAAAGTTGAATTCATTCAGGAACTCATCTCCAAGCAATTCCATTTTGAAGTTCCGTATAAAAGAGCATGGTATTCCAAGGACAAAGCCATCACTCAAATTTTTGGTGATTGGGAGAGTTCTTACAGCAGACTTCCTCAGTTCATGCAAGCACTGCAACAGTCAAACCAGGGAACCGTAGTCATATGGAAACACAAAGCTCTAGTGGAGGGTAGGTACACCAGCAACATGGAAGTATTTGAACGAGTGTTTTGGGCATTTGGTCCTTGTATCGATGGTTTCAAACATTGTATGCCTGTTATCTGTATCGATGGGACGCACTTGTACGGGAAGTATAAAGGAACACTTTTGGTTGCTACAGGTGTGGATGGAAACTTCCAAGTATTTCCACTAGCATTTGCGTTGGTTGAGGGGGAAAACATTTCCAGCTGGTCTTGGTTTATGAGCTGTCTTCGGGATAGAGTTACGCAACGAGATGGCTTGTGTGTTATATATGATCGACATGCAGGGATTATTGCAGCAATGAATGATCCTAACATTGGATTCACTCAACCCCGAGCCTACCACAGGTTTTGTGTTCGTCACTTGGCTTCAAACTTAAAATCTCACGTGCGAAGCACCATCATGAGAGATACGTTCAAGGCTGCTGCGTACCAAAGACAAGAAAGAAAACTGCAAGCTGACTTGTTTTCGATTGGTCAGGCATGTACGAAATCGTTACAGTATATTGCCCAAGTGTCGTTTCCTACGTGGTCTTTGTTTCACGACGGTGGTCGCAGACATGGGATATGTACAACAAACTTCTCTGAGACATTTAACAATGTTTTGAAAGGTGCTCGGTTCATGCCAGTTATGTCCCTTGTTGAGTTAACTTTCCACAGAGTTAACATGTACTTCACCTTAAGAAGAGAATCTGCTGAGACCAGGGCCGAACAGGGACTTGCATATCCCCCAAAAGTCACTGCTATTTTGGAGAAGAACATAGCAAAAGCAAGATACCACAAGGTGGATGCCTATAACCGTCGGCTGCACATTTACCAAGTGACGACACATAGGGGGGAGCGAGTTGGTAGAAAGGGAGGCCATAGACACACTGTTAACTTCCAGTTGAGAACCTGTACATGCAACAAACCCCTGATATTCCACCTTCCATGCTCTCATGTTCTAGCAGTGTGTGCGACATATTCACTGTCCGAGAGGCCGTGGGTGGACCCTTTCCTGCAATCGGATGCGTATATGAACACGTATGCACCACAGTTCTGGCCTATTCCATGTGAGACCACTTGGACGCAGTACATAGGACCTAGACTCATCCCGGACGCCAGCATGGTAAGAGGAAAAGGTCGGCCAAAGTCAAAGCGCATACGCAATGAAATGGATGACACTAACCGACCTAGGACTAAATGCAGCCGCTGTCACCAACAAGGTCACAATCGCAAAACGTGCCCAGCTAGATCAACCGAAACATAAGCTTGTAATTGTTTAGCTATAGTAGTAGAACAGTAGATTCATGTAGTAGTTGATTAATGACGTTATGTAACATTTGTAACGCTTGGATTATATTTGAGATTTGGTGACTTATATTTCGTACTTGTCTTTTACCTGTGACAGTCATGTCAATTTCATTGACTAGTAATGCTGGTTATGCAGTCTAGCAGAAAAACGCTGCCTGAGGCAGCGTTTTATGCTTTAACATAAAACGCAGCCTCAGGCAGCGTTTTATGCTTCAAATAAAACGCTGCCTCAGGCTGCGTTTTAAAGCCCATATACATATTCCAGTATAATTTGGCAAAATATACTAGTATATTTTGCCAAAATACATACCAACAGGTCAACAAGGTAAAACGCTGTCTCGGACAGCGTTTTACTTCTTGATTTTTTTTTTAAAAAAACTGGGTGTAAAACGCTGTCCGAGACAGCGTTTCAACTCAGAAGCTTAGTTTGGGAAATACTTTTCCCACGACACCAATTTGGTAAATAATTTACCAATAAAGCTCAATTTGGGAAAAAATCCTACACTTTATGTCAAATCGTTGCAAATAATATGAAACGGATGTAGTATCATTTAGCAAAAAGCAACCATGCATATAATTAAAAAAAATTATGAGTGCGATAATACAAGAATTGATGAATAACTTATTTTATTATACGCGGTACGATAAATTGATAATACAATAATTGATAATGATAAAAATCG